AGGTAGGATACCTGTGACCATTAAACTCCACTGCAAAAAAATTATTCCCCCTTTCCCTTATTCTAAGAGGTAAATGGAGCTCTAAGCAGCCTTCCCACACACTGTGCATTTCAAATTGTTAGCGGAATAATCACCGTAATTGTGTGTGTACGTGCAAGGGTGCGTTCTCGCCTCTCTCGCTGGCCGTCTTTCCCCCCACCGCCACCCATACCGGAGGAGGTTTTCATAAGCAGCCTTTGCAGACCACGGTCCCTCGTGCCATCTTAGGCCCGTTTTTGCTGTTGTTTTTGCTCCGAGGAAAAAAAAAAACATTTATCCAAATCTCGCCTTAGGGGGGAAAAAAACGGTTCGAATTCTAAAGCATTGGAAGCCAAAAAAATTTTTGAGGGTGAGTGGGGGTTGGAGAAAGGAAACGAATCCTGCTTTATGACATAACAAAGCCAGGAAGGAGTTAAAAGAAGAAGAAAAAAAAAAGGAAAAGAAAGCTGTCTGGTTGCTATGGTGCCCTTTTAAAGAAGAGCAGAGTTGATTACAACATTAGAAACCAGGAGCCCCCCCATCCCCCCCCACGGCCCCTCCCAAAAGGGGAATAATGGAATCAAAAGGGAGGGAGGCAGACATAACACTCTCTTTTAGTTCTGGCAGCTAGACCAAAGAGAACAACGTACGGCCCATCAAGTGCTCCTCGTGACTAAGGACAAAGCATCCTTGCTAAAAACTTCAAGCATCTCGTTCTTGGTTCCAAAAGCTTCTTTCCGGGATTGGCTGGCCGGCCTCATTTGCCAACCTTCTCAGCAGCCAAGTTTGACATCACTGGAGACCAGTTTTTTCTCAACCTTGGTAGCTTGAAGATGGGTGGACTTCAACTCCCAGAATCCCCCAGCCAGCGCTGCTGGGAGTTGAAGTCCACCCATCTTCAAGCTTCCAAGGTTGAGAAACACTGCTGTAGACCTTTGGCGGGTTGGGATGAGATAACGCTTGAGCTCCAGGCTGTTTATGGTTGACTTGCTGTCCCAGGTTACGGCTAGAAATTTGGGGATGTTCCAATGCAACCAAAGAAGAGCAACCAAGATGATGAGGGGACTGGAGGTTAAAACATACGATGAACACGGTTGCAGGAACTGGGCATGTCTAGTCTAGTGAAGAGAAGGACCAAGGGAGACATGATAGCAGTCTTCCAATACTTGAGGGGCTGCTACAGAGAGGAAAGGGTCAAGCTATTTTCCAAAGCGCCTGAAGGCCAGACGAGGAATAATGGATGGAAACTGAACAAGGAGAGATTCAACCTAGAAATGAGGGGGAACTTTCTGACAGTGAGAACCATCAACCCATGGAACAGACGTTGCCTCCAGAAGTTGTGGGAGCTTCATCACTGGAAGCTTTCAAGAAGAGACTGGACTGCCATCTGTCAGAAATGGTGTAGGGTCTGCTTGGGGAGGGGGGTTGGACTAGATGACGTAAAAGGTCCCTTCCGACTCTGTTAATCTGTACCTGTTTCTTGATGGGTTTGAAGGAGAAAAGCCAACAAGCTTAGCACACTTCTGAAGCAGCGGAGTTACTATCTTGGATCAGTTTTTCTAAGGAAAACCCAGCCCATGCACCTCGCTTCTCTATGGTTTGTTTTAACTTTTGGCTTATTGGATGAGCTAGTTGGTTGGGCTCACGTTCTCTGCATTAAACGAAAACAGGACAAGATCCCTTGTGGTAAGGCCACACTTGGAATACTGCATCCAGTTTTGGTCGCCACGATGTAAAAAAGATGTTGAGACTAGAAAGAGTGCAGAGAAGAGCAGCAAAGATGATTAGGGGAATGGAGGCTAAAACATATGAAGAACGGTTGCAGGAACTGGGTGTGTCTAGTTTAATGAAAAGAAGGACTAGGGGGAGACATGATAGCAGTCTTCCAATATCTCAGGGGCTGCCACAAAGAAGAGGGAGTCAAGCTATTCTCCAAAGCATCTGAAGGCAAGACAAGAAGCAATGGGTGGAAACTCATCAAGGAGAGAAGCAACCTAGAAGGAGAAATTTCCTGACAGAACAAGCAGAACAACTCGCCTCCAGAAGTTGTGGATGCTCCAACACTGGAGGTTTTTAAGAAGAGATTGGACAACCATTTGTGTGAAATGGTATAGGGTCACCTGCCTGAACAGGGGGTTGGACTAGAGGACCTCCAAGGTCCCTTCCAACTCTGTTATTCTGTTAAAATTATACTTCTTTTAAAAGAAGAGAAAATATTATATCCAGCTGCTTTAAAAGTGGCAAAGACAAGGGGAGACATGATAGCAGTGTTCCAATATCTCAGGGGTTGCCACAAAGAAGAGGGAGTCAAGCTATTCTCCAAAGCATCTGAGGGCAGGACAAGAAGCAATGGGTGGAAACTAATCAAGGAGAGAAGCAATTTAGAACTAAGGAGAAATTTCCTGACAGTCAGAACAATTAATCCGTGGAACAACTTGCCTCCAGAAGTTGTGAATGCTCCAACACTGGAAATTTTTAAGAAGATGCTGGATAACCATTTGTCTGAAGTGGTGTAAAGGTTTCCTGCCTAAGCAGGGGGTTGGACTACATGACCTCCAAGGTCCCTTCCAACTCTTGTTATTCTATTCTACATAAACCAGTTTACAACTGTGTGGTGCGAGTTGAGCTATCATTACTTTTCTAAAACGGCAGCAGGCAAAGAGATATTCTTGGCAATCACGATGCCGACCCTTGCCAGCTTTCCACCGAGGATCCCAGGTGTATGTTGTGTGAACCTAGAATAAAAGAATCCTGCTTTCTCTTAAGTCATCCCATAGATGCTGCCACAGAATAATCCCTGATACGTTCGAATCATCGGCCATCTGTGGTTTCACCACCGATGGTTTAAAAAAAAAAAAAATCTGTCTCTGGAACAAATCCCACAGACATATGAAAGCAGCCTTCTTATGATTGTAAGAAACTGCCTGAATAAATTGGCTAAAACTGTTGTGGCTCCGTTACCTGAGCCTGTGTCATCAGCAGGAGGACTCCGAGAGTGAAGGAGAGGAGTTGGCAAGGCCTCTCTCCAGGACCCTCCTCTCTGGTAATGCCTTCAGTGTCCGCCGAAGGGCAAGAGATAAGGCTGGGGCCAAGCATGTCCACGCAGCCACAGGTGGACAGTGATGAAGGAAATGAGTCTTGGCTGGATCCTCGGCAGTGTCGCAGAGATAAGCGCGCGCAACAGAAGAAAAGGCGTGCCAGAGATTTAGCTGAGTCACTGGACCACACTCCACAGGGTATAAAAGGGGGTGAGGTGGCCATTCAGACTCTGTGACGGACAAAACTAACTACTATCGAGTCACATTGCATCTTTGGAAACATTATCGGCCTTGGATTTATTTTACGAACTGGACAATTCTTGACTGTGTGTATTTTGTTTTATGAGTAAAGTTCTTGGCAAGCAGCTACTGGGTTGCTGCCAAGCTTCTTATCGGAAGAATTGGTTGTCTGCCAGTTTATTTAACCCCCGGCTGTCTGTTTGTGTGCGTGTGTGAGACGGGGACAGAACAAGAACAATGCTTACCAACCTTTTTCCTGAATTACCCAAACCACTAATCAGAAAGTCTTACTGAAATTCAAGAACCGATCACGGAGTCCCTTCTTGAGGACCGTCGTAATTTCAAACGGTCACTGAACAAATGGTCACAACTCGACAATTGTATTATAAAAACGTTATCGCTGAAGGATCTTGGTGTAAAAGAAACCAAGAACCATCAGTAATTCCATGAATTTTCATCTTAAAGGGGGATTGCAGGAGTATACTTGGGAGTATATTTTTAGTACAGGTGACAATCTTTAAATGTCCCCGTTCTGATTGGGTAATGGGTTCAATTTTTTTAACTCAAAGAAAAAGGTACTTTTTGCCCAATTTTGAATAATTTACTGAGATTTGGGAATCACCGAGTTATAAGGTCCAGAATAGGGGTGAAATGCTCCCGGTTCAGACCAGATTGCCCGATCCGGTAACGATGGCGGCGGGTGGTTCGGAGAACCCGTAGCAAAAATCCCTGCCCCCACTCCCCATGCCCAGCTGAGTCGCGCGATCATCAGAGGATTTTTTTTATTATTTTTAAAAGCATTTTTTCTACAAAAATATATATCTTTTTATATATATCTTTTTAATTGTATTTTAATGTTTGTAGTTTATGTTTTTACTTGGCTGTTCACCGCCCTGAGTCCTCAGGGAGAAGGGCGGTATACAAATTTAAAAATAAATAAATAAATAAATAAATAATGCTTTTTGGCCGAAGAAATGCTTTTAAAAGAAAAAAAAAAGCCTCTGATGATTGCACGGCTCAACTGGGATCGTCAGAGGCTTTTAAAAGCATTTTTTACAACCTCTTCGGCTGAAAAAATGGTTTTAAAAGTTAAAAAAAAAAAAAGTTGGCCACGCCCACTCAGTCACATTACACCCCCCCCCCCCAAAGCTACACCCACAGAACTGATAGTAACAAATTTTACATTTCACCACTGGTCCAGAATGCAAGATATCCACTAAGGTTGGCCGACTGACAACTCTTTTTCATACTTCCTATTGAACTGCTCTGGAGTCGCTGCTTTTTCCTAACTGACTAGTAGAGAAATTCTAATAAGAGATGGGATCTCTCTACTTGCTGATGAGGAATAAAATATTACCCCTCCCCCTGGCAGGTGGATCTTCATAAGAGACATGGAGTTGGATCCCAATTGGCACAGTGGGGAATTCTGTAGATCAGAGGTCTTCAAACTTGGCAGCTGTTAAGACTTGTGGACTTCAACTCCCAGCTATGCTGGCTGGAGAATTCTGGGTGTTGAAGTCCACAAGTCTTAAAGCTGCCAAGTTTGAAGACTGTAGGTGGTGGAAAGGAGTTTCCAGTTGACCTGTTTTGCAACTGGGAAAAGTCCTGCTCATCGCAACCAGCGTGGATCTGGTTGAAAATGATGGTATAATAAAACAATTCCGTCCGTAACGTTAGAAGAGGAAAGCAGACCCAAACAAAAAATGTAATTCAAAGGGCCCCTCTGAGATAGAGGCAATGTTTTTTTTAATAGTCACACTTTATAAACATAGTCTCTGGGCTGCCTTCCTGCGGGCAAACCCCAAGCCTGTCTCTGCTCTGAAAGTTGCAGGAAGATGAACATCTGCCTGAAGGTGGCTGCATCAACTTATTTGAGATCCAGGCGCGACCTCTTCTCTTTCTCCTGCTCCGCTCCTCTCACAGCCTTCGTGCTTTCCGAGGACGGCAACCATTGTGCGGTACCGGCGTATTGTCCGTGATGGAGATCACCTCCAGCCCCCCTAAGGTTAAGCCTTGGATGGCTGCCTGAAAGGGAAACAAGAGATATCAACCCTGGTGCTCATGGAATGCTAAGTCACGGTCTGTTGGAAGCACAATTTCTAAGATAAACCGTAACTACTTGAGTTTGGATAACCTGCAAAGCCCTAAATCTTGCTTTTGTCGGATACGATATTAGCCTAGCTTCACCATCTCTACGATAGCTTTGTGAACTGTGAGATACTAGTTCAAGATTTTCGAACGAGAGAGAGAGACAAAGCTTTTTGAAACTTGCTGCTGTTTTTGCCAAGAATGAGGGGTTCCAGAGTGTTTCAGCATCTCCTGTTGGATGCCTGAAATATCCAGCATCTTACTTTTTAAAAGGTAAAGGTTCCCCTCGCACATATGCTAGTTGTTCTCGACTCTGGGGGGCAGTGCTCATCTCTGTTTGAAAGCTGAAGAGCCAGCACTGTCCAAAGACGTCTCCATGGTCATGTGGCCGGCATGACTCAACGCCAAAGGCGCACAGAACACTGTTCCCTTCCCACCAAAGGTGGTCTCTATTTTCCTACTTGCATTTTTTACATGTTTTTGAACTGCTAGGTTGGCAGAAGCTGGGACAAGAATGGGAGCTCACCCCATTACGTGGCACTAGAGACTTTTTGCATATCTCTAATTCCCCACCCTCACCCCGTAAGGAACAACTTAGAAATCGAAGGTGGCTGCCTTATATTTAAGAAACAATTGTTTAATCTAGTTTAGCGTTATCTGCTTCAGATTCAAAAAGCTGCTACTGCTGGAGATATACATGCTACAGCTAGGGCATGTCAAAATTTTCCACATTCAATTTCCAAACATTAGGGGTGCTCAAAAGTTGTGACATGCCTTGGGGATTGTTTAAAGATATTTTGGTTACTTTAACATAATTTAGATAGAATAGAATTCTTTATTGGCCAAGTGTGATTGGACACACAAGGAATTTATCTGCGGTGCATAAGCTCTGAGCGTACATAAAAAATACATTCATCATGAATCATAAGATACAGCACTTAGTGATAGTCACAGGATACTAAATAAGCAATCAAAATCATACTCAAAATCATTAAGAGCCTTGGAGGCGCAGCAGACTAGTGTTGTTAAATAGCACCAGCTGCCTGCAATTACTGCAAAGTTCAAATCTCACCAGGCTCAAGGTTGACTCAGCCTTCCATCCTTCCGAGGTAGGTAAAATGAGGACCCGGATTGCGGGGGCAATAAGCTGACTTTGTATAAAAAAAGAACACCGCTTAAGGGGGGGGGCGCGAAAGCCCTACTAAGCAGGTATATACAAAAGTATGAAGGCTGTTGCTTAATGCATTGTAAGCCACCCTGAGTCTCCGAAGAAGGGCGGCATATAAACTGAACTAATAAATAATAAATAAATAAATACTAGGAAATTAAATAAAACAATATAAATGGTAAAATACAAGCAACAAGGTTATAGTCATAAGTAGAAGGAGATAGGTAATAGGAAGGATGAGAATAATAATAATACAGTCTTAGTAAATAGTTTGACAGAGTTGTGGAAAATATTGTTTAGCAGAACGATGGCATGAGGGAAAAAACTGTCCTTGCGTCTAATTGTTCTGGTGTGCTTTGTAAGCTATCCATCCATCCATCCATCCATCCATCCATCCATCCATCCATCTATCTTTTTTAAGTACATCATAAATAAGCTAACTACATACAAGATGTGCTTGGTAAGCTAACTACATAAATAGCTTTTATCTATCTATCTATCTATCTATCTATCTATCTATCTATCTATCTATCTATCTATCTATCTAAACATCTTATCATAAATAAGCTAACTACATACAAGATGTGCTTGGTAAGATCACTACATAAATATCGTAACTTTTTAACATCTGGTGTGTGTTTCATTTGAACTGCTACACCCCTCAGCAGCTCCAGAAATCCAATTTGTCTTACATTAAAGAGAGCTTCTCCCAGGGATTACATTGCAACAGCAGAGAGCAGTTGCGCAAACTGGGAGGAAAAAAGATGTAGCTGCTTTAAGCAGTTGCAGACAAACGCTCCATGAGCAGCCCCACTCAATGAGCTTTTCGCCATCACTCTGCCAAGACAGATTATCTCCAGCAGCCGTCTCCCACCTGGACAATCTCCCTGGATGAGTTGGAATTTTGGTTTCCAGTGGCCCCCTGCCAGCATGAGGAATGTCAAGTTGTTGAGAAAAGTATTGGGCTTCCGGTCAGACATCATTGCAGGACGGCAGATGGGGGAAGGACCTTTGAAATCGAGAACAAGCTTCCAGGGCTTGTAATTGCTGCTTTTCTCAGCTTCGTTGTTGTTAGTTGCAAAGTCGTGTCCGACCCACCGCGACCCCATGGACAATGTTCCCCCAGGCCTTCCTGTCCTCTACTATCCTCTGGAGTCCATTTAAGCTCACGCCGACTGCTTCAGTGATTCCATCCAGCCACCTCGTTCTCTGTCATCCCACTCTTCTTTTGCCCTCCATCATTCCCAGCATGAGACTCTTCTCCAGTGAGTCAGTCCTTCTCATTAGGTGGCCAAAGCATTTGAGTTTCATCTGCAGAATCTAAAGAGCAGTCAGGGTTGATCTCCTCTAGGACTGACTGGTTTGATCGCCTTGCTGTCCAAGGGACTCGCAGGAGTCTTCTCCAGCACCAGAGTTCAAAGGCCTCCATTCTTTGGCACTCAGCCTTTCTTATGGTCTAACTTTCACAGCCATCCATTGCTACTTGAAAAACCATAGCATTGACTATACACACTTTTGTTGGCAGTGTGATTACTTTGTTTCTCAGCTTACTTTGCACAATACGGCCGATCCCACTTAAGTGACATCACTCCCATCACTGTGGCCCTTGGTCATTGCAGGAGTTCAGCCAATAAAGGCTCCCTTCTCACCCGAAAAATGATTACAAAGAAACTGGAAGAGCTTACCAGCCGCCCAGGTCCCAGGCCTTTCACCACAACTCGTACGTGGTGCACGCCCTTTTTCGCTGCTTTCTGGACAGGCAGAGAGAGAGAGAGAGAGAGAGAGAGAGAGAGAGAGAGAGAGAGAGGAAAGAAACCTGTTATGCAATGAATCAAAGAGTATAATGACTGCTACTCCGACATTCAACCTAGATCCTATTTAACCTTCCCTCTGAACAGGAGCTTCTACTCGGTGGGACAAAGGACCGCTATTTTCTTTTGAACAAAAGGCATCATTGATTTTACGGTGCTTTCTTTCTTTGTTGCGAGCTGCTCAGAGTCAGGCGGCATCGGAGTTTAATAAACTATATCTGTTTACAGCAATGTAAAATCACAGCTGCCAGTTCTTTAGCTGGTATTTGGCCTCCGTAGGCATCAAGGCTTTTTTTTTTTTTTTTGGTATGGCACCCCGGTGTGCCGATAACCACAGACCACCAGAGCTGGTTTACGCCATAATCCTTCAATTTGGATTTTCAGATCTTTGATACTTTTGCGATCTGTTTATCAGCAGCAGCACCGTAATCCTGGCTTCCATGGAACTGTTCATTTTTTCCCAGTAGAACAACTTATGGAACAGGAACGGGGTGGGGGTGGGGGTGGGGGTGGGGATAACAGTGATGGAAGGTGCTTTGCAGAAATCTTAGAGTTTTTGTCCTTTATAAATAGAAAGTCTGGGATCTTTTTCTGATTTGTGGCTGAGCAAAAATCACTCTTTTTTCCACCGGTACCCTCCCACAAAATAGGTTGGCTATTCACTTCTAGACTTCCAGTCAAAACACCCGCTGATTATCTTGGCTGAAATGCTGGGGGCTGAAGTCCTTGCATGTCCAGAGATTTAGTGAAGGCTGCTATTTGCCGTCATTTTTCCAGACCTGAAACACGCACACAAGTTAAGAGTACTTATGAAAGACATTTACATTCAACCCACCGGGGAAGAAATGGCTTGCTTGCCAGTACACAAGAACTTTGCTACATTTAGAACGGGAAAATTAAAACGCTCAGCTGGAAACCTTCCATATCTGCTATGCCATGGCTCTTTTAAATGTTTCCTACATCCAAAATGATTAATGGGAATTTCCAGAGAAGCCTGACAAACGGTTACAGTAAGTCTGTTGGGCTAAGACTGCCATCTAGTGGCTTTTTAAAGACCCTTCACCCGGGCCCAAGGAGTCCTTGATTTACTATATTTTCTTTTCCCCCGACACCTTATAAAATACAAGATTGCATTTTATAAATACTGTTCTGTTTTGCATTGATCTGACTGCACAGGTTAGTCCTCGATGAATGAATGCTTCTTTTCAGTGACCGTTCAAACTTAAACACTGTGCTGAAAAAAAAATAACTTTACAACCAATGATTGCCATTACAGCCAGTGTGCGCTGTCCTGTTTTTTCTCTTTTTTTCCTCCCCTCCTTGCAGAGATAAGAGAGAGAAAGGGATTGCAAGAGAGTAAACACACACACAATGGAGAATTCACCGGGCTGTTTGTATAGTGGGCACACTGTGGCTGCTGGTACCAATGCACTCCAAAGGGCAGGGGAGTCGTTAGTAAGCCAAGAAAAGCAGATGTGAAACTGACTAGTTTTGTCAATTTTGAGCAGGAAAGTACTGTATTTTTTGGAGTATAAGATGCACCTACCTTTTTTGGTGAGGAAAAGAAGAGAAAGAAATCTCCCTCTGCCTCTGCGCAATTTTGCCTCATTGCAGCAAACAGCAAACAGCCTGCTTTACTTTCATTTTCGTTTTCAGCATAGCATGATTAGCACAAGGAAAAAAAAAATCTGCTGCAGCAATTTACCTCCTTGCAGCAGGCAGCAGAGGCCCACACAAAACAGCTGAGAGCAAAACAACTGAGAGTCGGGAGGCCGATCCAATCAACTTGTGCTAATTAGGCTGTGCTGAAGCTGAAAGGAGCTGTTTCTTCTTGCTGCTTGCTGCAAGGAGGTAACTGCTGGGAAGCAGAGGCCAAAGGGTGGGGGCCAATGGGTGGGTGGGGCTACATTCGGTGCATAAGACACACCTAAATTTTCACCCTTTTAGGGGGGAAAAAGTTGCGTCTTATACTCCGAAAAATATGGTAGTTCTTAAAGATGAAATTCCCTGTCCCAACTTAAACAAAGAGTAACTTAGTTTAAACACCCTACCCATATCTCTGAAATCCTTTTGGAAGGTGGTCTGTCTTAGGGCATATGTGAACCTAGCCATTGTGGATTAGCAGAGCCAGAGTAGAATATTTGACTTCCTCTCCAAAGTACAGTTTTAACCCTTTCTTCATCTGTTCTCTCTTTTTGAGGAAGGACCAGAAAATGAGTAGCAGTTGCTCCCTAAGGAGCAATTTGGTTCATCTGGAGCAAGTTTCTTTGCAAATGGATTTCCCACTGCTTGGTACAGGTTAAAAGATGCAATAAATGTAAGGATGAATGAAATTCTGGCCTTTTACTGCATAAAACCAGAAACTGTGCAAATCCTTCAGATTCTAAATATATAAAACCAAACAGGCCCTGATCTTGGTCTCTGTTCATTTATAATCATCCCTTTGTGATCATTCTCTGACCGTCTTATCTACGCATAAGCAATGGGACTTTAGAACCCACAACAATGATTCAAAGGGATGCCTCAAACAGGAAGCAAATATTAGGGATTATAATAATAAGGATTCCTTGGAAGTTAAATAAGAGTTGTTGATTTAAGAACCTTGATATCAGCCAGTTCTGGTCAGCCTGATAAGTCTTTACCTATTTCAACTTAGGGAAAGGTTAGTTCCAAGAAGTTTTTAAGAAGAGGTTGGATAACCATTTGTCTGATGTGGTGTAGGGTTTCCTGCCTAGGCAGGGGGTTGGACTAGAAGACCTCCAAGGTCCCTTCCGACTCTGTTATTTTGTTAAGAACAGGATGTTTGACTTACGTTTCCTGCTGCAATCCCAGTTGTCTGCGCTGCAAGAGCTGTCGATTTCTTCGCATTCTTGAACCCCATGTAGCCACAGGTTAGTAGGACCAGAGGGACTTTCTCAGCTGTGAAAACCTGGATGTGAGTGCTACAGGTGTCGTGGGATGATAGGAACAACATTTTGTTAGAAATCCATATGCTGTGCTATTTTGGGATTCCCTGCAAATCTGTCTGGAAAAAAAAAAAAAAAACAACTCCTAGTAGTTTAACTCAGCTCTTGCGTTCTGGTTCTCCCATGGGGAGATAGCAAGTGGGTGAACTAGGATGCAAAAAAATACAGTATTTTTCGGAGTATAAGACACACCTTTTTCCCCCCTAAAAGGGGGTGAAAATTTAGGTGCGTCTTATGCACCGAATGTAGCCCCGCCCACCCACTGGCCCCCACTCTTTGGCCTCTGCCTCCCAACAATTTACCTCCTTGCAGCAAGCAGCAAGAAGAAACAGCCCATTTCAGCTTCAGCACAGCCTAATTAGCACAAGTTGATTGTCCCTTGGCCTCCCGACTCTCATCTGTTTTGCTCTCAGCTGTTTTGCCCCGGCCTCTGCTGCTTGCTACAAGGAGGTAAATTGCTGGGAGATTTTTTTTTTCTTGTGCTAATCAAGCTAAGCTGAAAATGAAAGTAAAGCAGGCTATTTGCTATTTTGCATCTAGCAGTTTGCTGGATTTCTTAGCTCTGGAAAGAAACTTAGATTATTAAGGACCTGTGCCCCTGAATCACCACCCACGAAACAGGTAGCATTAGATAATTAAATGAGCCGTGGTGGCACAGTGGTTAGAATTCAGTATTGTCGAATACCATCTTGACAAATATATTGAATTGAAAATGGACACAACAACTGGAGAGGGAAGGAAGAAAGGAGTAGAGGGACAGGTAGGACGGAGAGAGGAGATGGGAGGAAAAAGAGAGAGAGAGAGAGAGAGACGAAAGGGAAAAGGAGAGGAAGAAAGGGGGGGAAATAAGAGTAGGAGAGATGGTTAGAAAGAGAGGAAAAGGGGAGGAGCGGGGGAAAGGAAAGGGAAGGAGAGGAGGGGGAGAGGAGGAAAGAAGAAAGTTAAAAAGAATAGAAGAAGGGAGGGAAGGGTAAGAGGGGAGGAGGAGAGGAATGGTTGTTGTGGAAGAAAAGAGATATGGAATGGTAGAAGAGCAACTCCGAACGTATTTTAAAGTTTTAGTATGAAGAATGAACCAATATAGAAACGAAAAGATAATATGTGTGATAAGAATGGTTAAAGAGAGTGTACATTTATATAAGTTTTATGAGAATGAATAAATTTTATATATATTTTATATATATATATGAGAGAATGCAGTATTGCAGGCTAATTCTGCCGACTGCCAGCTGTTCGATCCTGACCGGCTCAAAGTTGAGTCACCTCCTTCCGAGCTCGGTAAAATGAGGACCCAGATTGTTGCTGACATTGTAAACTGCCCAAAGAATGCTGTAAAGCTCTATGGGGTGGTATATAAATCTTCTAGGTGCTATTGCTAACTGTTCTGCACGAAGAACCTCCAATCGCTTACTTATTGTAGGTAGCTTTGATATGAACTATTGGGATTTCTTCAAACTTCTTTCCGTCCCACCGCAAGCTGCTTTCTTCTCCCAGCACTGGAGGGAAATAGCTGAAAAAAGGAGGGGAAAAATAGCCACATCAGCCAATTTCAACAGCTTAGGCAGCCCCGCACCCCACGTCCCCTTCCCCAATATTCAAGAGGCGTAAGGATTATTTTATCAGATTATCAATATTTGTTCAAAGATGAGTGGCGCGGTGGCCTAGAGGTTGAGCTCTTGCCTCACAATCGGGAGGCTGGTAGTTCGATCCTAGGTAGAGGCAAATATTTCTCTCTCTCTGGGCACAGTGAGAATATATCTGCTGAACAAAACTCCACATTGGCAACAGGAAGGGCATCCGGCCAGTAAACACTCAGCTCCATTCAGTTTCCCAGACTCCACCTCACAAGGGATTATGGGTTCATTAAAAGATGATGATGATGATATTTGTTCAAAGATGCTCACACGAAAGGATTGTACCAGGGGTGGGTTCTAAATTTTTTTACTACCGGTTCTGTGGGTGTGGCTTATTTTGTGAGTGTGGCTTGGAGGTCATGTGACTAGGTGGGCGTGGCTAGCTGGTCAGTCATTTCTGGAAGGTCCTCGCACTTACGACCAGTCCTCACACTTACGACCCGACTCATTTAACACTGATCAGCTGTAGGGCGGCCCTTTGAAGCCCCGCGGCAAGAGTTTAAACAGTTTTTTTCCCTCTAGTCATCAGCTGGGACTCAGGAGGCAGCAATAGATTGGGGGTGGGACCAAATAAAAGGTAAGAATAACGTGGGGGTGGGTGGGAGGGCGAGAACCGGTTCAGTGACATCATATCGTCACCGCTACCGGCTTGGCTGAACCGGACTGAACCGGGAGGAAGCCACCACTGGATTGTACCCATATTCAATTTCCCTCTCTAGAATCTGTATTTCTCCTGCATGGGAGCACACTAAGTCATAAACCATTTTTCATAAACTCAAAGCCAGTCAGTTTCACACAATACTGTAAGCCAACATCAAATAAAGAGCATTATAGTATACTCAGTTTATATAACAACATCTAAAACCAGCTAGAAGCAGTCTCTCATTCTGGCACAAATGTGCTCAGGAGGCAGAGTGTGATTTTTTTAAAAAGAAATGTTGGAATTGGAGGGCCTCTTTTCTCTCCTGAAATTCGACTGACCACCTTTTGATGCAGCTCTCCTCCAAACTCAAATCATTAAAAATATGAATCAATAAGCCCTTGAGGCTTTTAGAAACACGGTGAAAACCTGGCTGTTCCATTAAGCTGATGGGTCGGATTGTTTTGACTGCCTCTTGGGTGATGTGATTGGGTTTTTCATTTGATGATGTTGATGTTCGGAACACGCTCTAGTAGTTGCTTTTAAATATCTTGTAGAGTTTTAGTCCCAATTAAAAGTTGGGAGTTGTATATTGATCAGCCTAAAAGCTCTGAAAATGAAAAAAAAAAAAAACGGGATCACTAGGGGCAAAAATTATAATTCTATGATGGCAAAAATCGTAAGGAAAGTTAAAATGTTTTCAAAACTTGAAAAACCAAATATTATGAGTTCTGTTTCTGCATTGGCAAAATTCCTTGAAGCAACCTAACTTTTACAACCTTCCCAAACTCTCCAATGCTTGATGTAAACAAACATGATATTTTTTTTCTGCTTGTTTCTTTCCTGGATATTTTTGATGGTTTTAAAAAAAAAAAAATCTTGCAAAAAAATGCAAGAAAACAATGAGACAAATTAATATCTTAGAATGCAACTTTTGAGAAACGCATACTGGTTCGAAGTCCCAAAGATTACTTTTTTCAGGAGGCAACTGGACTCGTTTTTTTTCTTTTGAAGACATTTCGCTTCTCATCCAAGCAGCTTCTTCAGCTCTGACAGGATAGTGGGAACTGGTTTTGAAGTGTTACATTTCACAATTTGTCTCTTTCCTGCTTCCCCCTTCGTGTTGTGACCCCGGCCCCGGAGGCTGATTTATCTTCGCATGCTGATTCGGAGGATGATATGGAGGAGGAAGCTGTCACAAGCTATGTGCCGGAGGGGCCGTCTTCACTGGTGAGTCAGGAAGAACTGACAGTTGCTGACATGCCTATGGACCCCAGCCAAATTGAGGAGGAAACAGAGGCCGGTAACGACGAAGGGGAGCCCCTATTGGATGCAAGAGAGAGACGTAGGAGACGTCGTAGAGAACAGCTATTGCCATGTCCTAAGAGGTGTGGTCAGGAGACGTAGGGTCATACCGTACAAAGTATAAAAGGGGTGTGACTGGGCTGGAAAGGAATGGTGAACAATTTGTTGGCGTTTTGGATGCAGTGGATTTACAACTGTTAGTTTGGAGTTTTTTTGACAAGAGTCTGCATTCCTGCATTAGCCTGCTGGCTGTCTGCCAAGACCTTTGGAACATTGCCCGGTAACTATTGGACTGATATACGCTTTGAAAGAGAACTATTTATTAAAGGGCCAGCTTCCGTCTCTGTAGCCTGCGTTTGTTGCTGCCGGGCTATTTGAGCTTCTGCAAGGCCACTCGTGGGAGGGGACAGAACACTTCCAAAATACCAGTAGGTGAAATATCCTATTCACAAAATGCCCAATCGCCATTGCAATTACGCACACTGTAATTTTTCCCAGAAATAAGCAGTTACCTGCATCCCGGAAATTGCAACATTAACTCACCTGAAGCTCTTTGACTGTGTGGAATCTAGCTCTTTGTCTGTTGCTAGATCCGGGTTTTCCAGTAACGCTTGAAATCTCTGGATGCCTGACTGTATAGTCCGAGAAAAAGTGATGCTGGAGCAGCTGCAAAGAAGGAAAAGCAAGAGATCCAAATTTAAGAACAGTATATTGAGGAACGAATGCAGAATTCCTATGAACCACCAAGGCGCTGGCCCATTGCTTCCAACTGCTGAGAGGATAAATTTACAACATTTGACCTTCCAGATGTGGGAGCTGCACACCCAAGCTACCTGGGCACTGTCAATGGATGGCTGCGTATCGCCACGATTTCCTCTTTCAGGTAGAACTAACCTTGGTGCCCACACAATTAAGGTTTCCACAGTAAAAACACAAAAGTTAAAAAGTTATTTCATGAAGTGCAATTACAGTAATTCAACAAACGTTTTGTCAACCCATCCAATAAAACAAACCGCAGGAAAAGGAATAAGAAACGGGCCACATATATTGATATCCTGTCAAATGCCTTTTCTAACGCTTAAAGCTTTTGGGTGGGTGGGTGGGAGAACCCTGTCTTTTCTTCTTTCCTGGCTGATGCCTGGTGTGATGATGTCTCAATTTCTCTTCTTTCCAGGCAGCAAATGGGGATTCAAAGCTCCATCCTCCACAGCCAGCTCTTTGCAACTGGCCTGGGATTACAGAATCCATGATTCCCAGGAAGCATGGAGATTGCAGTCAAAGAGGAGCAGTCTCTGAAAGGCTTCCTGGAGTTTCCACCCCTCTCCCTCAAAGCGGTCCTCGCCCCAGCGATAAAAGGAGTGGGATTAAGACCGTTTGCCTTGAGAGGGGGGGGGACCCCAGGATGATGGGAAGTGTAGTTCTCCGACTCCTTTGCAAACCCTTGGGACAAGAAGTCAATGCATGCAATGCAAAATGTTTGCAATGCAAAAATGCATGCAATGCAAAAATGCATGCAATGCAACGTGCAGATCATCCTCGTTGAATTGGTCTGGGACCCTCAATCAATGTAAGATCATCGGTGCATGGAGGTTAAAAGGGGGGGGGGAAGGAAGGCAGAAATGCGGCAGGAAGGCTGGACCTGTTGGATTTCTGCCTTCCACCGCCTAAAAGCGGGAACCCGACCTTTGCAGCCTTAGAAGACGTACCGACCACCCCACTTTCTTCCCACCTTACCCCGAGCCGCCCCCCAAGAGCCCCCGCCGGGCGATCGCCAGCGCAGCCAGCATAGTTTTTTTTTTTTTTTTTTCCGCTCTGCTGTCCGGGACTCCGAAGGTTCCAATGGGGAAAGGGGCGGAGTCTCCTCCGCCGGTCAAATCTCGCGATGCGTGGAAAAAAACAAAAACATGGCGGCGTCCATCCGGAGAACTAGGCGAGCCTTCAATGGCGGCGCCCTTCGCATTGGAAGCGTCCGTACGGGCGCTTGGGGCCTGGTTCCCCTTCGTTTCTCTTGACAGTTGAAGCGGGACGGAGGGGGAAGTTTAACCCGATTTAGGACGGCTGAGAAGTGTTGTACGGTCTGGGGAGGTTTTTTTTTAGAGTTGTGTTCGTCTTTATTCATCGCCTATGGAGATTCTCAAGTCCTCCAAATCAGGGGTCTCCAACCTTGGCCACTTTTTAAGACTTGTGGACTTCAACTCCCAGAATTCCTCAGCCAGCAAAGCTTTTGATCAAAGCTGGCTGAGGAATTCTGGGAGTTGAAGTCCACAAGTCTTAAAAAGTGGAGACTCCTGCCTTAAAGAGTCTGGCCTGAAGCCCCGCCTTTTTGACGTTTACCGGAAGCGGAAGTCGCGTTCCCGGCGGAAGCGGGCGGGCCGCCGCGTTGCATTGTGGTCCCTTGGTGGTAAAATGGCTCCCTTCGGCCGGGCGCTGCTCTCCATCCGCACTTGGAGCCGTTTTTGCGCCGGCCGGAGGGCGCTTTGCGACGGTCCCAACGCCGCGTCGGGATGGAAACTCTACGGGGCACTTTGCTTGCAGCGGAGGCCGCTCCTCGCGCAGCCCCCGAGCCCCGAGGAGGAGGAAATGGCCGAGCTGACGCAGCAGGTGGGGTGGAGGGCAACTGCGAGGCTTTCTTGGAGCCGAGGCCTTCGGTGGAGGGGCGGGGGTGGGAAGACCCGCTATGTTCGGGTAACTGGGCCGTCCCTGCCCTTCCAGAAGCCGTTGGGGGTGGTCTCAGCCCTAGAAGGGAAGGGTGGAGCCCAAAGTGATGAGGCTTTGGGGTCCTGCTGTGGCTGTCTGGACCAATGGTGGAATCCAATTTTTTTTTTACTACCGGTTCTGTGGGCGTGGCAGGGGAAGGATACTGCAAAATCTCCATTCCCACCCCACTCCAGGGAAAGAAAACTGCAAAATCCCCATTCCCACCCCACTCCAGGGGAAGGATACTGCAAAATCCCCATTCCCTCCCCACTCCTGGGGTAAGGATACTGCAAAATCTCCATTCCCACCCCACTCCAGGGTAAGGATACTGCAAAATCCCCATTCCCTCCCCACTCCTGGGGTAAGGATACTGCAAAATCCCAATTCCTCCCCACTCCATGGTAAGGATACTGCAAAATCTCCATTCCTACCCCACTCCTGGGGAAAGGATATTGCAAAAACTCCATTCCCACCCCATTCTGGGGCCAGCCAGAGGTGGTATTTGCCGGTTCTCCAGACTACTCAAAAGATTTCAGAAGGGGTTTGCCATTTCCTTATTAGGCCGAGAGAGAGGGACTGGCTCAGAACTTAGAATAACTTTGTTGTCACTTGGAATGTAGCAGTAGCACTTAGACTTGTATATTGCTTCTACTGTGCTTTTACAGCCCTCTCTAAGCGGTTTACAGAGTCAGCCTCTTGGCCCCCCCAACAATCTGGGTCCTCATTTTACCCCCCTTGGAAGGACAGAAGGCTGAGTCAGCCTTGAGCCTGGTGAGATTCGAACTGCCAAATTGCAGGCAGCCGGCAGTCAGCAGAAGAAGCCTTAGAATAACTTCATTCTTTGAATGTACACTAATCAGCATATATTAAAATGAAATTTCATTGCATGCAGCACTCAAAGGGTCACCTCCTACAATATACACTACATAAAACATGACAAAATAAATAAGTACAAAATTATGCATATACCCACAAATATGATACAGAGAAACAACACAGTCTAGTTCAGATGTATACATGTAAATGGCGAGAAAAATGAATCTTGAGAATTTATCAAACGGATGGCACAGGGAGTCAAGGTCAAGGTCACTCGGCTAGATCCAGGCCTAAATGCGGACTAGAATTTAGCTTCTAGTCTGATGTGTTAACTACTACACCAAACTGGGTTTCAAGGGCTCCTTACATGTGGTGATATCCAAAAATCACCTTTGTGGGCAAGGACTCCCCTTCGTCCCTCTGGAAGAAGCCCAAGAACGCAGGATCCCCAGTGCAGAGGCCAATGAATTGGGCATCTTAGTAAGAATGTTTCCTGGAGCATGGGGATTGGAACAGGTTTGGCTTTAATCAGATTAATTATTTCATCACAAATGAAGGCAAATATACATGTCCCAGGGTAATGTTGCAGGATAATAATTGATTCGTCCTCGTTGATTGACTTATGAAGTTTGTGGGAAGGAGTTGGGGGAGGCTGATCCCCCCCCAGAAGCCGATGTGGCTTGAAACCCAATAAGCTGTCATTCATTGCTCTAAAGTAGTGTTTCTGAAACTGTGGTTCAAGAACCCCTGGGAGTCTGTGAAATCAAAATTATTTGCCAGATGTTGAAGATATTTTCAAAAACGTGAAACAATGTCACTCTTCTCATTATTTTGTATTTGTTAAAAATATAGGAATTTTTCATGAAAAATATTTTGTTCATGTAGCGGTAGATACCTAATAGGTTTAATATTGTTATTTTTACAGGAGTCTGTGAATGTGTCAAGTTTAATTTTTGATATAGTAAATGTTGATGAATATGATCCATACAAACAGAAGCTCTTTTATTCCTCCATAATTTTTAAAAGTGGAAAGGGGTCCTGAGAGCAAAAGGTTAAAGAAGCACTGATCTAAGCTACTGTAGTATTGTCAACTTTGTTCCTAAAACTTTCCATAACTGGAAAGTACAATAATAATAAATAATAATAATAAATAAATAATATATAAATGTATAGTATAGTATAGTATAGTATAGTATAGTATAGTATAGTATAGTATAGTAATAAAATAAAAAAGTACAGTGACAAAGTTGTTATTATTATTATTGGCTGTAAACATATATTTCTCTGAAGAAAGGACCTTCTAAACTCTTTGATAGAGTGACCTGTGGGGTTTAAAATACAAAAGCATGAGAATTACTGCTGTGGAGAATCTCAAACTAGATGGACCAATGGCCTATAATTAGTGCTAAGCCATACTTCATTTAATTGGGATTTACTGAACTAGGTTCTCATGACAGGCTGTACTATAAGTGAATGACTGATTTTGGATTGATCCAGGTTTGTAAATATTACTCTAGAGTGTGTGTACAAGCAAGCTAGCTTCTACAGCTTTGCAACTTGTTTTCTTTTCAGATAGAGGTAGAGAAAAGCTTGTATTCAGACCATGAACTCAGATGTTTCGCAGAGGATGAGTTTCTGCGTCAAAGGAGTAAAGAGAAATACGATATTTCTGAGAAAATTGTCCTGGTCCAAGATATTGAAGATGCCTGGGAACAGAAATTTCAGAAGTTCAAACCTGCCCCACGGATAACAGGTTCAAATCCATGCTTTTCCACACTAACTTTGTTGCATATGTTTGGTTATAGCTGAATTCAGATGAATTCTATTGAATTGGGAGAACTACATGCTCGAGAAGACCATTGCGAGAGAGATCAGCATTTTTCAAGTCAGGTGGAGAAGACTGCGAACTATTTTTTTTTTAAAAAAAATCATTTCAGAGTGCAGCATTTCACATGAACTTAAATTACAGAAAGGCAAATTCTGGTTTAAGAATTGTGTAAGAAGCTTCTCAGGTAGTCTGAAAGCAAACCAGTTACAAAGAAAAGTGGTGGTTTCTTTCTGTTTATGTGAAAGTGTCAGTAATGTTTTACTCTCAGTTCCTTGACTGAACACAGAGGCCTCATCCCATAATATTTCTTTGCTTTTGCAATGAAAGCAGGACAGAGGCAGTTTTCGGAAAAGAGGGTGACTTTCAGTTAACTCATAATTGAGAGGGAGGTGGGGGTGAGAGAAAAGAAACATTTACTGTGTTTCCCTGAAAATAAGACCCTGTCTTATATTTTTTTGAACCCTGAAATAAGCATTTGGCCTTATTGCCATGCGCTCAAAAGCCCAATTGGGCTTATTATCAGGGGAGGTCTTATTTTGAGAGAAACAGGGTAGTCCAAAGCAGAACTGATTATATACAGGAAAAGGAAAGACCTCATGATTTCCCAAGAATAATGAAAAAATATGCACATGTATATATATCGTGAGAAAATACGATTTATGATTCGTTCTGCCCAACCTAAATACCAAAATCTGGCCAGGATGCATACATTCTTGCTTCAGGTTTCACATTGGAAGAAGTCATTTCATTTTTCCCTTATGTGGAAGACTGGCGGCGGGGTGGCTCGGTGATTAAAATGCTGACCTTGTTGGTTCTAAAGCCAGCAAGCCTGGGTTTGAGACCTGAGCGCCTTACGATGGGTTGAGCTCCTGTCCTCGCTCCAGCTCCTGTCCACCTAGCAGTTCAAAAGCATGCAAATGCGAGTAGATAAATAGATAACGCTTTGGTGGGAAGGTAACAGCGCTCCGTGAGGTCATGCTGGTTACATGACTGCGGAAATGTCTTTGGATGTCCGCTGGCTCAATGGTCTTGAAATGCAGATGAGCACTGCCCCCTATAGTCACCAACGACTAGCAGAGTAAAATCTGCATTGGGACTCCTTATGTGGAAGATCACGTGATTAATTTCACCCAAAGCCGATCAATTTCAAATGACCTTTGTGTTACACTAGATCAGTTAGTCACAAGCTACCAACATTAAGGATACTGAATATTAATAGGATGAAAAAAAATATGCATGGCAATTAACTGCAATGTGTGGTTTTTAAAAGTTCACATCTTTAAATATTAAATATCTTCAGAAGAATCTCTTTCCCTTACCTCCAGTAAGCACAATCAGGTACTGGCTGTCTTTTCTGATTTGAAAGAATGAATTTGTGTATAATTTTTCTGTTTTTTTCCCCTGGAGGCATTTCCCACAACCCACTAAGTGGCTGTCTCCTGCTCCTGTAAAGCATCTGTCTGGTTGATTCTCCAGGCCAGCTAAAACCAACTGTTTCAGCTGTCAGGAATAGGTATGATTAAACCTGGCTGAATCTAGGTAATGGCCAAGTTGAACCGAAGGAGAGACTATCTGTAATTTTGTGCTGCTTAAAAGATGGCTGATTTTACACTGCTTTTGTCAAGAGCTTTGCAAAATCAAAACCGATTTTAAGCCAAGTCACTGGATGGAAATGGGGTATTGCATTCATCTGCATTACTGTCTCCTAAAGAATAATAGAGGATAGATGCTGTTTCATATCCCCAGAAGTAGGGGAGAATTGTGCAGTCGGTTCAGTTTGCAAATTACATCTGTCTTCTTGGTGGCAGGTTCTCTTGGTCATTTGTTCTTAGCGTAGCCTCTTTGGGTTGTTGAGTAGCTGAATACTTATAATGCTAAATTTCTTTCTGAGCAGAAGCTGACCAAAAGAATGACCGGACCTCTTTGAACAGGAAGTTGGACCAGAATTTGTTGCTTTTGGTTAAGCAGAAATTTGGAGATGAAGATATATGGCTGTTGCCCCAGACAGAATGGCAACAAGGAGAGACGTTGCGAGACACAGTAGAACGGGTTTTGGTTACCCTTCCAGGTCGGTGACGTATTTATATTCCTTAAAAATTTGTCCATTTTTCCCTTCTCTTTCTTTGCGTAATTTCAGTTTCCTTTGTTGTGTGTATTTTTCAGTTGTAATCTTTTTGGGACAGAGAGCTATCCTTTTTGAAGTATCTTGTGTATAGTGCCAACTGAACAATGATACATTTGTGTTTGTGGCTTGTTGCTTTCGAGGCAGTAAATTTCATTCTTGCGGTTTGTTATCTGTGCATTTAATAAATTGAGAGCCCAGCTGTTGTGCATCATGAGCCATGAGTTATGGAACAACATGAGGTGTTAATCCCATTCAGTTACAGTGTAAGCATAGTTAAATAGCAATAGCTCCTAGATTTATAAACCCCTCCATAGTGCTTTACAGCACACTCTTAAGTCTGTGATGGCGAACCTATGGCACACGTGTCAGAGGTGGCACGCAGTGCCCTCTCTGTGGGCACATGAGCCATCACCCCAGTTCAGCTCCACCATGCATGCGGGTGTGCCTCCTGCCAGCCAGCTGGTCTTTGGGTCTCTGCCACGCATGTGTGAGGGGTGGGGCCTGTGCGGAGGACATGTGCACATGTGCAGGGGGCGGGGGGGGCAGGCTGCGTACGTGGGAGATGTGAGCGCTTTGCATTTTGGGAGTTTTGGCACATGCATGTGCATTTGTGGGCGCACGCTGTGGGCACTCGGTCCAGAAAAGGTTAACCATCACTGCTCTAAGTAGTTTACAGAGTCAGCATGATTAAGAATCTCCATAGTCAAAATGCATGCAAATCCTGATTGCTTATTTGTAACCTATGACTATCATTAAGTGTTGTACCTTACGATTCTTGATGAACGTATCTTTTCTTTTATGTACACTGAGAGCGTATGCGCCAAGACAAATTCCTTGTGTGTCCAATCACACTTGGCCAATCAAAGTTCTATTCTATTCTATCCTATGTTGGAATTGAAGGAAAGCACTTTAAAAAGGGGGGTGGGGTGGGGCTAGGGACAGGGATCAAATTATTGTTTGTTCTCATGGTGTTCACCAGGTTGCTGCCTTTTTCTTTCCATCTTCTGAACCTCCCAAGGAGTCCAGACGCAGGCCAGGTTCCTCGGAAATGCGCCCTGTGGCTTTTACAAGTTCAAGTTCCCCAAGGCAATCCGCACCGAGACCAACACCGGAGGAAAAGTGTTCTTCTTCAAAGCCTTCTTGGAAGGCAGCCCCCAACTTTCATCCAAGGAGAAAGCGGACTACTTATGGGTCAGCAAAGGAGAGCTGGAGGACTACTTGAAACCTGCATACCATTCTCAGGTTTCTCAGTTCTTAGTGGACATCTGAATACTAGAACGATGTTTCTCTTCTGTCACCATCAGTGTGGAAAGTAAGAGGAGGGACTTCACTTGAATGATGGAGATGGCACCACGTGTCCTTTGTGTAGAAGCTTCATTGGGTCCAGGATAAGGATAATAAAATAAATACTAAATAAGCATGCCAAGAAACGGCGGCATCTATGTTTAAGAGACGTCTGGTGTCTTCATTTCCTCACAGTGCAAACAACTGCCCAAGGAGCGTCGCGGGTAACACTGCAGACTAATACTGAGCTAACAAAAATCCATTGTCTGGTCTGGAAGCCATCTTTTGTATTGGGCCTTCAGACCTGCCACATTTACTACTGTGGGAATTGTGTAGAGCATGGGGGATATGTAGTCATAATAACATTCCTTTCTCAGGTTCAAGGACATCTTGCCCTCCACCTGGGAGGTTGGAACTGGGAGGTATCTCCAGTTGGGACCGGTGCTCTGATTGGACCACATGATGGACTTGTGGGTGTTGAGCTTTTCTTTGGGTGGGGAAAACCCTGGAAACTTTCAGATTCAGGTTTTCCCAGATGTGCCAATATGACATCTCTAAGAAAATGTAACTTTGAGGAAACTTAAGCCTCGGAGTTTTCATTTGTAGGGGGTGTTACTTGGAACCCTGACATCCATTCTCTGGGCTAGGGTACCTGTCTGATGTCCGCTTCTATATACGTCTTGAGTGAAGCAGCTTCATTGTTACTGTGACATCGGCTTTTCCTAGGGGATGTAAGGGGGAAGAAAAAAACCCAAGTAAGAGGGCCCGCAAAACATGCAGCCATGAGTCAAAGAGGACATGCAATGCCACGAGGCAGGTGGATTGGAATAATCAAGCAGATGGAGAGATGAAATGGGCAGCGTGCCCTCTTCCTCCTTAATTTGCTGGATTTAATAGCAGGCCACCTGTTTTCAATCGAGAGCTGTATTATTTGATGTATGCACCATTCTGGAGCTCATTGTGGCCTTTGAAGCCATTCCCTCCGTAAAATGCGTAGCGAAAGAAACTATTGCTGCAATTGCACACCCTCGATAGCTTGAACCAAACTCCCAATTCCTTGGGTTTGGCTAGTGAGTCTCAATCGTAAACTTTAGTACTTGATCAAATGATGCCCATTCAGGAGGTTTTCCGTTATTTCGGACCCCAGCATCTTCCTCCTGTGCTTGCCAGGTTGTTGGCAGGTGGGAAATTCTTGTTTTTAACCAGGTTTTGTACCACAATGGGAGTAGCATACTGTTATGGTCCGCCAACAGCCTGCGGAGCTAGCAACGGAGTCAGAAAGTGATGAGGCTGAGGAAGAACATGGGCCAGTCCTGGAGGTTGGGAAAGGCCCAGATGAGGGCTTCATCTGAGAGGCAGAGGAACAGGAGGAGCCTGTTCCTAGTGCACGTATGAGAAGAACTACCAGAAGGCAGGCGCAGCTAAAGCAGAGAGGACAACTCGGGAGTAGGGCCAAGAGATGATTGGCCCCTCCCATAAGGCTTAAAAGACCAGCAACAGCTCTTGGGCTCTTTGCCGGAAAACAACTGTTGAGAGATTTGCTTCGTGTTTGGATGTATTTCTTTCTTGTCAGCGTCTTCTGCTTCTGAACTTTTGCTAAGAAAAGCCTTTGGCAGTTTGCCTAATTATCCCAAGGTCAGAGATAAACTGAAGAATGGTGTTTTGAGGACTTTGTTTTCATTTAATTTGGAATATGCTGAGAATGAATTAATTCTCAGCTGTTCTAATAAAGTCTTCTTGTTTTTTGGAACCGTTTTGCATTTAATATTAACTACGTGGGCCTGGGTCACAACACATACAACCTGCATCAGCCAGGTTGTGTCATCATTGGAAGGGACTTGTGTCACCTTGTCTCCTTTTTCCTAATGTGCCATCATGCCAAGGGGAGAATGTGCATGTCTGTCACATCTATCACATTGCAGACGATGGAGAGACAAGATCCAGATATAAAGCATCCACTTGGTTGAGCAAAAGGCAAACTTGAGGTTGAGTTTTGTTCTTTACGAGAGAGTGGGGCAGGGGTAGTATTCTCTTACTTTCCCTACCGGTTTGCAAATACGAGTGGGTGCACACGCTAGCTTCGATCACATACATCCTGTCCACGCAGGTGCCCAGCCCCAAAAACGTGCCTAAATCAGATGGCATAGAACGAGGGGTAAGATTCACCGATTTCCGCTACCGGTTCGGGTGAACCATTCCGAATCAGCTGAATACCACCTCCGAAGCGGGGTGTGTCTTGGATCTTCTCTAGTTGGCAAATGAGAACTGATTAGCGGAGGCACGCTTGGTCTTATTGGTTAGGAAGGAGCAAATCTCTCGAGAGATTTGTCGATCGTTTCCAAACATGGTAGGCTTGCAAAGAAATCACTTCAATCACATCCTTGTAACCTGAAAGAGTAGTCTGTTTCGTCCCTACTAAGAGCCATGATAGTGCGATGGTTAGAATGCAGTACTGCAGGCTAATTCTGCTCACGTTGCCAGGAGTTCGATTCCCTCAATCCTGACCGGCTCAAGGTTGACTCAGCCCTCCATCCTTCCAAAGTCGGTAAATTAAGGACCCAGATTATTGGAGGTAATATCTTCTTCTTGTGCCATGTCCATCATCGGATGTTGGCGATCCTGTTGGCAATCCTATTTTTGTCAACAGCTGTATGAAAAAGGGCTGCTGAGTTTTATCCAAACCGGTCCCTTAGGTTTTGAAGCCATGATGTTCTTCTTCTGCCTGGGCCTCGTTTGCCTTCAATTTTTCCCTGGAGGATTAAGTGAAGGATGCTGTATTTTTCTGGGTGTGGCATCACATGTCCAATATGGAGGCAATATGCTGACTCTAAACCTCTTGGAGAAGGCTGTAAAGCACGATGAAGCGGTATACAAGTCTAAGTGCTATTGCTGTAGCTACTTATTTTTTTAAAAAAATTCTGTAGTTAGAAGATCTGGTCTTGAGATAGACGATATCATCTGGAACTGCCCAGAGGGAGACACGACCAAGTTTATTTGTGCAGCCAAGGTGGCCTAGAGTCCTATTGTAATAATACTAAAACTCCAGTCTTTTTGCTTCATCTGGACAGCGGTGCAGAACAAAACATGATGTGCCTCCTAAACTGGATTCAAAGCAGAAGATGTTTACACACAGTGTAATTAATAGTATAGTTTGGGATCTGCTTTAATCCAGGAAACAGTATCTTGTCTTCTTCCAGTAGTCTTTGGCCCACCATAAATAAAATAAACTACCTTTTAGCATCAGCTTTATCTCAAAATTTTCAAATAATATGAAATAAACTTCCAGCTCTTAAAATCGGACATTTGTAATCAGCAGAGAGCTTTATTGCCCATTTTTTTGTGATCAACGCATAAGCGGTGATACACATGCACAAAGAGAGAGAGAGAGACAAATAAAAATAAAAATATCCATGTTTCAATTACTTAAGTACCATCACAGGGACTCCAAAAATAATGGAGTTATTGGCAGAGACATTAGATCACCCACTTGGGAGTTTCTCTTGCTAGTTTTTATTTTTTTGTTTATTTTTATTTTATTTGTTTGTCAAACAAGTACAAGGTAGCAAGTATAAGTATGAACATAAGCATGAAAAAAAAGGAAGTAAATACAGATAAATGGGGACCAGTAAGACAGGGACGATAGGCACCGATAATGGGATTCAAAATGTGTTACTATCGGTTCTGTGGGCGTGGCTTGGTGGGTGTGGCATGGCATGGCATGGCTTGGTGGGCGTGGCAGGGGAAGAATACTGTAAAATCCCCATTCTCACCCCTCTCCAGGGGAAGGATACTGTAAAATCTCCATTTCCTCCCAACTTCAGGGGAAGGTTACTGCAAAAACCCCATTTCTTCCCGATCAGCTGGGACTCGGGAGGCAGGGAATAGATGGGGGCGGAGCCAGTCAGAGGTGGCATTTACCGGTTCTCCAAACTACTCAAAATTTCCGCTACCGGTTCTCCAGAACTGGTCAGAACCTGCTGAAACCCACCTCTGGTAGGCATGCTGGTGCGCTTATGCACGCCCCCTTTACGGATCTCTTAGGAATGGGGTGAGGTCCACGGTAGACAGTCTAAGGTTGAAGCTATGGGGGTTTGAGGATGTAAACAATGGAGTCGGGTAGAGCATTCCAGGCATTGACCACTCTGTGGCTGAAGTCGTATTTTCTAGTGCTCCCAAATTTTAAAAGAAGAAAAGGGGGGGGGAGGAATCTTTAACCCATCCTGCCCTCCCCTCATGCTGCAAGCTATCTAAAGTGCAGCATGTCAGCTTTTTATTTTGTAAAAACCAGGCTGCTGTTGCCAAGCTGTAGGATTGCAATAAATAAAATAGACTTCTAAAGCATGCGGCTCCCTCCAACCTTCCTGTGTTCTGAAAACACCCTGGGAGACTCCTTAGGGACTCGGCTCAGCTGCTGAGACTTGGACAGGCAGAGCAATTGCAGACTGTGGAGGGGGGGAAAAATAATAAAAGAGGTAAGGATGGATTTGAGCCAAAGAACTATAAATTAGTTTCCCAAGGTCTGGTATAACTAAAGCCTCTCATGATGGGCGGGTGAGGAGAAGGAGGTTAAAAGCAGCAGACTATTGCTAAGGGCAGGGCAGGGCATAGTTTATTTGTGTGCAGCATCCCCCACTGGCTTGGGTTGAGTCTTGATGCAGAGTGTGATGCCTGCAAAATTAGTTTACCAGATCTGGAGCGTGGTAAAATAAAAAATGACTGTTGAGGATTGAGTAATTTGTGCCCTTTTTCTGCCGGTCCAAAAACATCCAGCCAGCTTTCAGGTTTACAGTGAGAATAGAACTCACTGTATCTGTCTGTCTGTGTTTATCTGTCTCTATCGCTCCCTACATTGCTAACTCTACATCTCTATCTCTAGATGGTGAGTTGTAGTCTCACCATAGGCAGGAAAGCAGGCTTGGGTGACTACATGCATAGATCAACGATTGATCGATCGATCGATGATAGAGATGATAGATGATAGATAGATAGATAGATAGATAGATAGATAGATAGATAGATAGATAGATAGATAGATAGATAGAATAGATAGACAACAGACAGAGATAGATAGATAGATAGATAGATAGATAGATAGATAGATAGATAGATAGATAGATAGATAGATAGATAGACAGACAGATGACAGACAGAGATAGATAGATAGATAGATAGATGATAGATAGATGTCATATAGATAGATGATAGATAGATGATAGATGATAGATGTCATATAGATAGATAGATAGATAGATAGATAGATAGATAGATAGATAGATAGATAGACGGACGACAGACAGAAATAGATAGATAGATGATAGATAGATGATAGATAGATGCCATAGATAGATGATAGATAGATAGATAGATAGATAGATGATAGATAGACAGATGCCATAGATAGATGATAGATAGATGATAGATAGATAGATAGATAGATAGATAGATAGATAGATAGATAGATAGACAGACAGATAGTTGCATGAGAGAGAGATGAGATAGATACATATAGATAGATATAGGTAGGTGGGTAGGTAGATTAGATAGATGATGATAGATAGATAGATAGATAGATAGATAGATAGATAGATAGATAGATAGAGATACATGATAGAGATAGACAGACAAACTGACAGATAGATGAGAGAGAGATGAGATGAGGTAGAGGTAGATGTATAGATAGATGTAGGTAGGTAGGTAGAGATAGATTAGATAAATGATAGATAGATGATAGATAGATATAGATAAAGGTAGATATATAGATGTATGAGAGAGGGAGGGAGAGAGAGATTTTTTACCTGTCTGTGTTCAGGATTATGTATGTCTAATACCCAAGTTTTTGATATTCAGCTGCCTGGCAAAGCTTTATCTTCTGTTTCAAAGGATGTTGCCCTTTCCTCTGGCTTTCCAAGTCACCTTTTATAGCTGGCTCTCTTGCATTTCCTCCCCTTGCCTTATCTTTTGCTTATAAAAAGCAAGGCTTGTTCAAATCAAGCCCCATCTGTTACGTTTCCTTTACGGCACTCCTGTAGGATTGAGGGAAGTGGGGGACGGAGCTTCTAGTTTTCTTGGCAGCCTTCTCCACATTTAAAATACACCGAGGCTCTTTAAAAAAAAAAAAAGAGTTTATGTTGTAAATTCTTCCCTATCGGAAGCCTGCAGGCTTTTGGATGGGTTTTTTTTTTTTTTTTTTTTTGCTGGCCATTTTCTGAGAATCGGGGCTTGTTTCCTTTCCTTTCTACAAGTTGGCATCTGCGATCAGAAAGGGGCCAACAAAGGAAAAAGAAATTCCATTCACGGGGGCCAGATGGCGCAGCCGTTCAAGGCAGGGATGCTCAAAGCTTTCAAACATCGCTTTCCCAGATTAAATAGGCCTAATGAGGAATTCCGGGGTTGGCTGCCAAGGAGCTCTTGCGTGGTGAAAAAGGATTGTGAGAAGTGTGACACATTCCAGTCCGTTTGTGGAAAGTGTGATCCAGGTGGTTTGATCTTCAATTATCCATGGGAAAATTAGCCTTTCCCAAGTTTAATGCCCTTCAGACACAATAACTCCTAGAATTCCCCATCCAGGATTAATGTCTGTCTGCCTGTCCATCTGCCTGCCTATCTATCCTATCTGTCCGTCTATCTGTCTGTCTGTCTGTCTGTCTGTCTGTCTGTCTCTGTCTGTCTGTCTGTCTGTCTATCTATCTATCTATCTATCTATCTATCTTTATCTATCTATCTATCTATCTATCTATCTATCTATCTATCTATCTTATCTATCTCTATCTATCTATCTATCTATCTATCTATCTATCTATCTATCTATCATCTATTATCCATGGGAACATTAGCATTTCCCAAATTTGATGCCCTCCAGACACAATAACTCCTAGAATTCCCCATTCAGGATTATTGTCTGCCGTCTGTCTGTCTGTCTGTCAGCCTGTCCACCTGCCTGCCCCCCGTCCTCTATATGATCTATCTGTCAATGGATCTATCAATCCATCATCTATCTATCTCATTCAGAGGCTTCCTGACTCCTCCAAAAGGAGGGATAAAATATCCATATATATCCAAATAAAACCATAGACAAGACAGCAAAGAAAAATCAGCAGGACCCCAACATTTTCAGAACGTCATCAGTTTATGGACTGTTTATTTGAGAGTGACAGATTTTGACGCTTGGTTGGAGAAATGCTGAGAAATCATCTGAAAGAGTCATATATCTCTCTCTACTTTTTTTTTTTGCAGCGAGACCTAACCTTCACATCTGGTTTCATCAAATGGAGAAAGAAGAATGTTGTTCCTCAAATGTCCTGCTCCCAGGCTATTTAGAGAAGTGGTACACCAGTCCTTAACATGCTTGTTCTCCTCCTTATGTTCCACCTTGGAGATTCACTGAGTTTCCCCCTTTCATTAAATTGTGAGAGTCCAGCTGAGATCCTAGCTTTCTGAAGACAAGTGCTTATGGGTTTTCCAGCATCAGATACGCTTCAGATTTGCTGCCTACTTTCTCCCTTTCATTTATCTCCTTGTTGCTGGGTGTGCTTCCTTACTTTCATCTATCAAAGTAATGACACATCATATTTATCAGGCCAGGAGCAAAATCTCCGGAAAAAAGTAACTAAGTATAATTCTCATTTAATAGGGCAGATCGGGCATTCACTGTCCTCTGCTTCTCAATAAAAGAAGACTTCTCCTGGTGAATTTATCCAGTGTCTATGTTAGCATACTCTATGGGCTTCCTAGCTGATGGAAGGTGGGTGTAACAATATACTGACTTGCAAGATAGTCTTTTGTGTCTGGATCCTACCTTGCAAAACAAACAAACAAACAACAACTTGAGTTGGACTTCCAGCCAAAAATAACAGAAAACACAGTTGGAAGGGACCTTGGAGGTCTTCTAGTCCAGCCCTGTTCAAGCAGGAAATCCTATACCATTTCAGAAAAAAGGTGGTCAAATCTCCTTTAAAACTTCCAGTGTTGGAGCACCCACAACTTCTAGAGGCAAGCTGTTCCACTGATTAATTGTTCTCACTGTCAGGAAATTTCTCCTTAGTTCCAGGTTGCTTCTCTCCTTGATTAGTTTCCATCCATTGCTTCTTGTCCTGCCTTCAGGTGCTTTGGAAAATAGGTTGACCCTCTCATCTTTGTGGCAGCCCCTTGGAACACTGCGATCATGTCTCCCCTAGTCCTTCTTTTCATTTAACTAGACATACCCAATTCCCGCAACCATTCTTCTCGTGTTTTAGCCTCCAGTCCCCTTCCAGTCCTCTTCTCTTTGGAAGCCTCTCCACTTTCCCAACAAACCCAGTAGTGCTGAAGCTTGCAGCCCAGGGAAGGGTTCTACTTACCTTTACTACCGGTTCGCAACGGGATCGCAATGTCTAAGGTGGGACTAGAACTCACCATCTCCTAGTGATTGGCCCAGAGTCAACAGGTGACCTTTGTGCCTAAGGTGGGACTAGAACTCACCATCTCCTAGTGATTGGCCCAGAGTCAACCAGGTGACCTTTGTGCCTAAGGTGGGACTAGAACTCACCATCTCCTGGTGATTGGCCCAGAGTCAACCAGGTGACCTTTGTGCCTAAGGTGGGACTAGAACTCACCGTCTTCTGGTCTCTAGGCCAGCACCTTAACCACTAGACCAAACTGGCTCTCTATCTTATGCTTCAGAACCAGCTCAGTCATTAGGCAGAAAGAATCAGCTTGCTTACTGGGAAAAAAAATGGTTAAGGGGATCTATGGGAGAGAAGGAAGCAAGAGCTCCTCTGTTCTATTTTGAAAACAGCAAGGATTGCTTTGGTTGATTTCCACTCAGATCAGATTTATGTATGTATGTATGTATGCATGCATGTATGTATGTATGTATGTATGTATGTATGTATGTATGTATTTATTAGTTTGATTTATATGCCGCCCTTCTCCGGAGACTCAGGGCAGCTTACAATGCTTTTAAGCAATAGCCTTCATACTTTTGTATATACCTGCTTAGTAGGACTTTTTGCCCCCCCCCAAGCGGTGTTCTATTTTTCATACAAAGTCAGCTTATTGCCCCCACAAACCGGGTCCTCATTTTACCTACCTCGAAAGGATGGAAGGCTGAGTCAACCTTGAGCCTGGTGAGAATTGAACTCGCAGTAATTGCAGGCAGCTGGCAGCTAAATACTACTTTAACAGTAGTTTAGTCCACTGCGCCACCAGGTTTGTTTGTTTGTTTATTCCATTTAGAAGACTGCCGATCTCGAAGAAGCCACTCTGGACGGCCGTGTTCTGAGACCTTCTGTTCCGGTTGAGTTTATTTTTTCCTCCTCCTCTTTTTCTTTATGTCCCCCCCTTTTTTTTTTGGGATGGTACACCTGAGAGCAAGAACAGCTTTGTTACTGATCTTTATAAGTCACCCTGGGAACAGTTTTTTCCCCGCGAACTGCAATGTAAAAATAGTTTAAACAAATCTAATCTTTCAGGCTAGGCCATATGTTCCAATTGTCAGGGAGAGTTCCATGTTCCAGGTACCTTTTCCATGAAAAAAAACGCCGTTCTTCTTCATTTATTCCCATTTTTTTTTCTTTTGCCTCGGGGATGCCTTTTAAATGTACATCTGTCGCAAAAGAGCTATTCTTTTGCAAGTTGTGATTTCATTGCCTGGGTCTCTCGAATTGAAAACTCTGAATAAGGAAAGGAGCACTTGATCTTGTTAAGCCCAGCCAGCTCCAAATTTTAGCATCCCCCTTGGCATGGTTTTTGGAAGCCAACAAGGAAAGGAGAAGGCCAACAAGAATGTGGGTTTTTTTTTTGCAACTCGGCCTACAGGTTACACAAAATAAACAGAAAGCAAAGCACCAAATATGTTGCTGGGGGGGGGGGGGGGCAGTGGAAAAATCTGCAGTTCAAAGAAGAGCAGATCGACAAATTGTGTTAAGCTGGCCGGTGTATAAAATGATCGATCGCCATAGGAAAAATAAGCGGAATTGTACCTGCCCCTCGAATCATATAAGTATACAGGAAATGGATACAAATAAATGGGGATAGTAGGACAGGTACGGTAGGCACGCTGGTGCTCTTATGCATGCCCCTTAAAGACCTCTTAGGAATGGGGTGAGGTCAACAGTAGACAGTTTAAGGCAGGGGTCGGCAACCTTAAACACTCAAAGAGCCACAAAGGTCCTAACCGGAAGCCGCCATTCAATTCTGGAGCCAACCGGAAGCCCAGTTCCCCCACCATAGTTTCCTCCTAGCGCGGCGTCCTTTTTCCTCTGCTGACTGGAAGTCTGGTTCCCCTACCAGAGAGTCTCCTCCTAGTGCAGCATCCTTTTTCCTCTACCTGTCCTAACTGAAAGCCCCATCAATTGTGGAGCCGACCAGCAACAGGGAGCCACAGCAGAGGGATGAAAGAGCCACATGCGGCTCCAGAGCCGCGGGTTGCTGACCCCTGGTCTAAGGTTAAAGTTTTGGGTGTTTTGGGATGAAACCACAGAGTCAGGTAGTGCATTCCAGGCCTTGACCACTCTGTTGCTGAAGTCGTATTTTCTACAATCGAGTTTGGAGCGGTTTACCTTGAGTTTGTATCGATTGTGTGCTCGTGTATTGTTGCGGTTGAAACTGAAATAGTCATTGGCAGGTAGGACGTTGTAGGAGATAATTTTGTGTACTATGCTTAGGTCAGACCGAAGGCGGCATAATTCTAAATTGTCTAAGCCCAAAAATTCAAGCTTGGTGGCAATAAGGTATTTCTATTCAAACTAGCGTGCTGTTCTCAAATTTCCCAGCTTAGAAAACCCCCACACATTGCAAAGCTAGCAAGTAGAGCGTTTGACACGAGCCAGATAGCAAGTGGCTGTCAGTTAGATAATGGAGTGTAAACCGGGCAGTGTGTTTACCCAGGCCTAAGCCACCACCCTACATTTCATCTCCTTCCTATTTCTCATTCTCCTCCTCCTCTTGCTTTTCTGGCGAAATATGGACACTTTCCAAAATTAATTTCAGCACTGACACATGGATAGTTTCCCACAGTGCTTACTAAGCAACTTTTCCCTGACAAGTTACTTTTGTTCAAGTACGAGCACATTGCACCCAAGAGGAATCTAGAAGCTGTGGAGCCATCTCTGGATAATTGTTCTTTTGTGTGAGCTCCTGGGCATCGGTGACTTGCGAGGAAGGAAAACAAGACAGAAACAGAAAACTGTGTGATATTGTGCGTGCTCCGTTTTTTTTTTTTATTATTATTATTTTAAACAAAGATCAAGCTCTGGTAATTCTACACCAGGGGAAAAAATTCAGAAAGGAAAAATTTGTTAGCATATAAATACTGGCTGCTTTCGTAGATGAGACACACTAAGTCATCTTTTCTTTTTCTTATTTTTTTTTTTAAGAGAACCCAGACTTGTTCACTATGCCGTAATTTGCGTGGTTCATATCGACTAATTCATAACCATTAGGGGTTTATAGATTGCATATTATATACCGCAGTGATAGATTATACATTATGTACAGATTATATATATTATATAATATGTGGATGATAATAGATTATATATTATACACAGCGGTGTGTTTTGGGCTCGTACAACAGACGGAGTGACGGCAAACCTTTTCGGCACTGAGTGCCCAAACTGGAACATGGTTGTATGCGTGTGCATGTGTGCATGTGTGCATGCTGGAGCGCCGGAAACCGAAGACCAGCTGGCCGGCGCATGAATTCCTGTTTTTCGGCTGTTTTCTGGGCCGTTTTCATGCCAAAAACAGCCAAAAAATGGCCGGAAAACGGCCCAAAAACAGGCATGCATGTGCCAGCCAGCTGATCTTCCAGTGCTCCACTGCGTGGGAAGACCAGCTGGATGACGCGCATGCGCGTGCTGGAAACCCGAAGAGCAGCTGGCAATGGTGCACATGCCCACAGAGAGGGCTCTGCGTGCTACTTCTGGCACGCGTGCCATTGGTTCGCCATCACGGGACTAAGGGAATTCCAAACAAGCAATTCCTAGGTCCGTGATGGTGAACCTATGGCACGCATGCCACAGGTGGCACGTGGAGCCATATCTGTGGGCACGCGAGCATTGCCTTAGCTCAACTGCCTGCGCTGGCCAGCTGATTTTCAGGCTTTCCGGGCCCACTGAAAGTTGGGAAATGGGCTGTTTCCAGCCTCCGGAGGGCCTCTGAAGGGTGGGTGGGTGGGGAAGGCCGTTTTCACCCTCCCCAGGCTCCTAGAAAGCATCTGGAGCCCGGGGAGGGCGAAAAACGGGCCCAGGCAGGAAACCCTACACCACTTCAGACAAATGGTTATCCAACATCTTCTTAAAAATTTCCAGTGTTGGAGCATTCACAACTTCTGGAGGCAAGTTGTCCCACTGATCAATTGTTCTAACTGTCAGGAAATTTCTCTTTAGTTCTAAGTTGCTTCTCTCCTTGATTAGTTTCCACCCGTTGCTTCTTGTCCAGCCTTCAGGTGCTTTGGAGAACAGCTTGACTCCCTCTTCTTTGTGGCAACCCCTGAGATATTGGAAGACTGATATCATGTCTCCCCTAGTCCTTCTTTTCATAAGACTAGATATACACAATTCCTGCAACCGTTCTTCATATGTTTTAGCCTCCAGTCCCCTTGGACGAATGGAATTAAAAACAGCTGACTCCAGAACTGAAAAGACAGTTGTATTTATCTCACCAACTCTGTATTGTAGACTTAAGGTGGGAAGTAAAGTTTTTTTTGCCTGG